CTCGTCACGCCGAAGACCGGGTTCGATTCCCCACATGGGCACAATGTGTTAAGCCCATTTCTGGTGTCCCCCGCCGTGATATTGCTGGAATATTGCTAAAAGCGGCGTAAAACTAAACTCAGTCAGTCAGTCAGTCAGAGGTACATTGTTTTAGAACACTCCTGTGCTTCTTGGTAGATTTACTGGCTACATCTCATAAATCCTGCAGCCAGCACATGATCTTTGAGGTGTTCATGACCTGCTCACCTGATCAAAACCATGAAAAAATACATTTGGGCTAAACATAGAATGAGTGAGTCAATTTAGTTTTACGCCGCTTTTAGCAATATTCAAGTAACATCATGGGGGGAACACCAGAAATGGGCTTCACACATTGTGCCCATGTGAGAATCAAACCCAGGTCTTAGGTGTGACGAGCTGACACTTTAACCACTAGGCTACCCCACCGCCCCTAAGCATAGAATGAAATAGAATGAAACTTTCTGATTTGGAACACATGATGTAACTGAGTCAGATCCTTTGACAACATCACAACATAAAGAAAAATGTCTATTTTTAATTTGGCTGAAATGTGAATCTTACTCCTCACTCTGTGAACTCAATTCCAATTTTCTTTACTTTGATAACGTCTTTAAACAAAAACTAACATTTTACTGAAAGCACCCCGGCATACTTATTATTGGCTTTTCACAAACAGATGCATCGATCCAGTTTCTTTGGAAGTAACTGTACACCTAATTGCTTCCCCATTGTCCTCTATTTTGTCAGTGTAGGCATTCCCACAACTGCTAGAGTACTGTTGATAGGGCTGCTGACTTCAACTGACTTGGCTGTTGTTGGGGAAGATGTGATCAGCCTCAGAGTCTCAAGTGTTTGGACTATTTGTCTTACATCCAAGAGTTGTACTTTCAGATCGGCACTCAGAAACTGAGCAAGGAATCAAATAACATGAAATCTGATGTCAAAGGATGAATTATGTTTTCAGTTAATTCAGTGAAGTAAGCATCAGCTTGAGCCAACAGTCTGAAAAGATGCCTACATGGCATTGATTAGTATTGATTGAGGCACACCTCCCACAACTGTCTATGTCAGATCTACACAAACATGTATCAGTGAAACACATCCACAGGTTTGTCCGCATTGCCACGCACATTAGTGGTCAATACACTCACCAGCTTAGTTTGTTTAAGGAGCTGGTGCTTCTCCTCAGAGGAATTGACCAATTCTCAGATTACGGTCGATGAGGTGCTGAAGCCAGTGCCAAAAATACCCCCGGGAGATGCGATTTATTCAGACACGGATGCTGAATTTATTGTAGCTTTTGTACTATGAAGGTCATAAAACATTTCGTGACTTTAGTGCATCTCAGAGGAGTTGTTTGTTTCCAGACAAAATGTGAATTCTGTCTGAACATGATAATCATGTAATATACACGTGAAGATGTGTGTCTTGTCCCTCTGTCCACTCATGCAGGTGATAAGTAGTGTGTAGATGGGCAACAAGAGTGTTTCCATACAAATGACAATTATGCTGCCACCAGTGATCCTCAAAGTGTTATATGGCTGAAGGTAACTGTCACTGGGATGCCTGTTGCAGTTATACTTGGTTGGCTTGAACAATTTAACTGAGCAAGATAATGAGCAAATGAGTTGGTTTAAAGGGGGTCTCAACCCAAGCAAACTGGCATGCCAAGTAAGTGTGACTATTAACTTCTAGTGTCTCACTTGCAGCTTGGGTTATACGGGGTAATAATAATCAGATTGTGATTTCAGCTTGTTAGCGCTATGAGCATTTACCAAGTGAATGAAGTTTAGCACATTATAGATGCACTTATCAGATTATTATTATTATTATTAAAACCACCTTGCCATACAAATCTGAGTCACACATTGCACCTTTTACAATGTCTGGACTTTGACAAGGAATGGACACCATACCACTTCATAGCCCCTTTTTATGCTGCTTTAAGCAACACATATTCAGTGTGGCATCAAGGATGTGCAACTGTGTAAATTATACAGTTTGTTTCAGGTAAGGACACTGTTATGTCATTGTTTTATGTGTCTTTTCATACATAATTAATTTGTATGGAATAAACAAACCTGACATTTCCAAGTTAGTTGTGCATTGGCTTCAGTGTACTGAATACAAAGGCTGAAATCTGGTTAGTAGAAATAGATACACTCATGGAATCCCGAAGGGGATTGTGTGATGTATTATCATTCATTCTGATTGCTCTATTACCACTGATGCAGTTTACAGTGAATGTTCTGTGACTGTGATCAGTGAGGTTATAAGACTTTGACAATGTCAGGCTGAACTGAAGCATGTGACCTTCTGATGAAACTGCAGATGTACATGATTGGGTGTAATGTTGGTACAGTTGACTTTGTGTCCTGTTCAGACTGACGAGTAAACTCCTAGTTTGTCAGCCGATCTTGTCAGTAATTCTGCTTACAGTTTAGAAGTTGCAGGTTACAACTTGGCCCGTGTTGAACAAATCCAAGATCCTGTATGCATTATAATATGTCCACTTTGTGTGGGAGGAATGCCTGAAGTTAGGGAGGTCGGAGATGTTTACTATTGTGCTGATAGACCAAGGGTTATAATATGTCCACTTTGTGTGGGAGGACTGCCAGAAGTTAGGCAGGTCGGAGATGTTTACTATGGTGCTGATAGACCAAGGGTTATAATATGTCCACTTTGTGTGGGAGGAATGCCAGAAGTTAGGCAGGTCGGAGATGTTTACTATGGTGCTGATAGACCAAGGGTTATAATATGTCCACTTTGTGTGGGAGGACTGCCAGAAGTTAGGCAGGTCTGAGATGTTTACTATGGTGCTGATAGACCAAGGGTTATAATATGTCCACTTTGTGTGGGAGGAATGCCAGAAGTTAGGCAGGTCCAAGATGTTTACTATGGTGCTGATAGACCAAGGGATATGTCCACCAAGGTTACTGCCAGGTTATAGACCAAGGGTTATAATATGTCCACTGTGGGAGTGTGCTGATAGACCAAAGGGTTATAATATGTCCACTTTGTGTGGGAGGAATGCCAGAAGTTAGGCAGATCCGAGATGTTTACTATGGTGCTGATAGACCAAGGGTTATAATATGTCCACTTTGTGTGGGAGGACTGCCAGAAGTTAGGCAGATCCGAGATGTTTACTATGGTGCTGATAGACCAAGGGTTATAATATGTCCACTTTGTGTGGGAGGAATGCCAGAAGTTGGGCAGATCCGAAATGTTTACTATGGTGCTGATAAACCAAGGATTATAATATGTCCACTTTGTGTGTGAGGAATGCCAGAAGTTAGGCAGGTCGGAGATGTTTACTATGGTGCTGATAGACCAAGGGTTATAATATGTCCACTTTGTGTGGGAGGACTGCCAGAAGTTAGGGAGGTCGGAGATGTTTACTATGGTGCTGATAGACCAAGGGTTATAATATGTCCTCTTTGTGTGGGAGGAATGCCAGAAGTTGGGCAGATCTGAGATGTTTACTACGGTGCTGATAGACCAAGGGTTATAATATGTCCACTTTGTGTGGGAGGACTGCCAGAAGTTAGGCAGATCTGAGATGTTTACTATGGTGCTGATAGACCAAGGGTTATAATATGTCCACTTTGTGTGGGAGGACTGCCAGAAGTAAGGCAGGTCGGAGATGTTTACTATGGTGCTGATAGACCAAGGGTTATAATATGTCCACTTTGTGTGGGAGGACTGCCAGAAGTTAGGCAGGTCGGAGATGTTTACTATGGTGCTGATAGACCAAGGGTTGTAATATGTCCACTTTGTGTGGGAGGAATGCCAGAAATTGGGCAGATCCGAGATGTTTACAATGGTGCTGATAGACCAAGGGTTATAATATGTCCACTTTGTGTGGGAGGAATGCCAGAAGTTGGGCAGATCCGAAATGTTTACTATGGTGCTGATAGACCAAGGGTTATAATATGTCCACTTTGTGTGGGAGGACTGCCAGAAGTTAGGCAGGTCGGAGATGTTTACAATGGTGCTGATAGACCAAGGGTTATAATATGTCCACTTTGTGTGGGAGGACTGCCAGAAGTTAGGGAGATCTGAGATGTGTACTACGGTGCTGAGACCAAGGGTTATAGATAGGAATCTCTGATTCAAACACATGAAAAGCAGATCCCCGAATTTATTAGAGACAGCTAACACAGCTAGCACACAATAGATGTGATTCAAGTAGATTTCTTGCTTGCTGAGAGTCCTGTTGCATTACTTCAAGTGATTAAGCATATGTGATCTGTCAATTGAGTGTTATGTGCAGCAACTGACTGCCCGTCAAGTATACAATTACTGCAAACATTAGCTTTCTTAACCTCATCTGCACACTTACTGTTTGGCTCTCACTAAATCATGGTTCCTGCACAGATAGTGAGTCAATGTTTCACTACTCTTGGGGATAGGAGGATGAGGGTCTGGGTGGCCCAGGTGTCTAAGGCACTACATATTGTTGCACATAGTTGCCTATCATGGCCATGACAAACCTTTGATAATAGTTCAACTCGGATGATGTTTGTGGGTTTGTCAGTACTGGGCTCGTGTTTGATTCACCAAAGAGGTAAATGTCTGAAACATCCATCCCTCTGGACACACCATGATGTCACCACCATGTATGTTGGGTGCATGTTTTTATCATATATTATATATGTATCATGTATATATGTTGTGTTTTGTAAATATCATGTTTTAACCTGTGAAGATCCGAGTTAGAATTGGTCTTCAGTAACCTATACTTGTAAGAGGCAACTATTGGGTGGTCATACTCGCTGACTTGGTTGACACATGTCATTGTATCCCAGTTGCGTAGATCGATGCTCATGCTGTTGATCACTTGATTGTCTGGTCCAGACTCTGTTGTTTACAGACCACCTTCATATAGCTGAAATATTACTGAGTGCGGCGTAAAGCTAATCTCACTCACTCCCTTATATGACCTTGCCCTGTCTAACACATGGCCATCCTTGTTCCAGGCTGTCTGCTGAGTGACGTGTGTGCCCCAGGCCAGCAGTGTAAAGATGGTGAGTAGGATACATACACTGTTTCACATCTCACAACACTTTCAGGTCTCAAGTACAGCTACAGCAGGGAATTTACGCAACAAAACGGATTTCTTGACCCAGTGGTTTCGACCTGTGAAGATCCGGGTTAGAATTGATCTTCAGCATCCCATGGTTGTCATAAGAGGCAACTAATGTTGACACATATCATTGTATCCCAGTTGTGTAGTTTTATGCTCATGCTGTTGATCACTAGATTGTCTGGTCCAGACTCTATCATTTACAGACCGCCGCCATCTAGGTGGAATATTACTGAGTGCAGCGTTAAACAACAACCAACCAATCATGCTTTGAAAATCAGGGTTTCTTTGTTTAGCTTTTATGAACAAACCAGTGAAAAGACATTCTTGGACTTCAATGCATGCATGATAAAAATGGATTTTGTAATGGATGGAATCAAAAGGAATGACTAATTGCCTTGACATGTTGTTTTGTTGTGCAGCATGTTCATGGTGACCAGCACAGTGATGAGAAACATTTCAATAAGATTCAGGCTTAACGACATCATCAGCAGATTTATGAAGAACGGGACAAAAAGTTGTTATTTCTGACATTACGTTACTCGTTTTAGTCATGCGGGGCTACAATAACCCACGTCTATTTCAACAGTCAGATGAAATAAATGCTCCATCGATTGACATGTGAAAATTATTGCCTTGAATCTTTTTGAAACTGTATCTTCCTCACTGATCACAGATAGATGAGAGGCAGATAATGAGAAGCGGTGGAGGAGGGCGATGGCTTGGTTTAGATATGCTCCATGTTCCTCCCACTTTGTACTCCAAGCACTGGTTTCATGTTGAGCGCTATTGACAGAAATCAATTTCAATAAAAGGAAACCTTTCATATATCATTTCCAATGAGGTTTGAATAGTAGGTGTTGATGACATATCACATTTTCTGTAATATATTTGATTTTTTCAGTTGCATTATAAATTTAACATAAAAGCAGTTAAGAAGGTAGTTAATATATTAATTGACTTCTTGTATGACTTAATAGGCTAATTGCTAGAGCACTCACACTGTTTAGCTAATGTAACATTGTTTGAATTAGATCTTGTGTAGCAGGACACGTTTGTCATAACATCTTTGAATAAATATGAATTTGCCTATTGATTGTGTTAACCCCCTTGATGCCGAGTTTTTTTTCAGGCGCACATTTTCATACGGTTTGAAAAGTGATCGTTGTGCGAGAATTGCGCTCGCGTGGTCCTGGATCTACGTACGGCTATAAAATTACACAGAAATGTAGAATATTAAATTTCCTATCCGTTGGTAAAAATATAAGTGCAACTACCTCAGCGGTTTGAGAAATAGACACTGCTAAATGTTGTCCAATTTTTTTTATGCGTTAAAAAACAGTAATTTTATCCGCTTTTTATCGCGCACCGATAAAAGCACTGTGCTACGATTTTTTTAATGTGGCATCTTTACGGAAAGTGTTAGCGAAGAAAATACAGCCTGATATCTGAACGACATAAGTGTATATGAATTGGGTTTATGTGCTTGTGAATAACGTTATACGCTCAACATTAAAAATGACTCGCAATAAATGTCAAAAATGGATTTTCTTCTATGACGTCAAACGATGACAGAGAGGTCATACACGTATAATGATAAGGGGGCATAACTCCGTTATGCGTAACACTAGGTCCATGTAACTCAGATCACTTGGAGAGAATTTGTTGTGGATACGGACGCTATATTTTCGTTATTTTATGTTCATGGTGAACCAAACTATTCCAATTCAAAGTTCCCCAATGTGAGCGGATGCAGTTTGGTAGTTTCACAATTTACAAGAAAAATGATAACGTATTACATGTGAAAGCACGTAATAGCGATTTGGATGGCCCTATCCGATATATAAGTTAGTTCTTAGATTCCCATATTGTCCTGTTTGTGTAGATGTATTTTGACTAATTTTGCATCGTTATTACCAGAGTACTAGCCATATCTTCAAATGTAATGAAATTGCTGAAAATAATACACCATTTTAGTTGACGTCATTGCTTGTTTTATGCATTTTGCGACGTCAGAAAAAGACGACATTGGTATGCTGTTTAGTACATATCTCACCTAATTTCCATTAATTGTGTGAAAGGTTTCGGCTTCTATGTCAGAATTTAAGACTCTTTAGACAAAACATAAAATGACTGATTTTTCCATTTAAATAGTGTCCTGAATATATCAACAATTAGACAGTTTGTCTGTGTATCTTTTTGTGAGAAACACGCGCACCTGTTTGGCATCAATTTAACGTAAATGAAAAATAACATTTCACAACACCCGAATATTTTGTTTAGGATAAGAATTTTCTTTGTTTATGATTATGTAGCTATTTCTCTTCATAAGTATGCAATGGAAGATGCAAAAAAGATAGCTTTTTATATATGGAACTAGTAATGCATCTATATATTAGAACTTGGATATGGATGTAAGATTTGTCCAAATTAAGACATGACATGGTTTATATATTTTTAAACAATTTTCGTATAAATATAGTTAGAGTTTGATATCCTGTCATCACAATATTTTTAAATCGAATATGAATTGATTATATTATCGAAAACAATGATAGTGAATCATAAAACGTTTCCGACAAACGCGCACCTGGCCAATCAATTTACATCATTGTTTTCTCTATAAACCGACACACAAATGTGCAAAAAAACAAGACAATTCCTTTAAATATGTGTGCATATACATTTCATACCATATATAAATCATTTTCATTAATATTATCAGTTTTACTTATAAGGTTGAGTTAAATCGCCGTTCATTAACCTGTTCATGTGAAACTGCAATATTAGTTCAAATGCATTGAATATTGTACATCATAGGAACTAATGCAATTGCAGTTATGGCTACGTTTGATCTTCTAACACTTGTGTAAAGGTTTAGAATATGGTGTATTGCACTAAATATGTCAATTTCCTATGTAACTATGATTCAAACAATCAAAAACTTTCAAAGAATAAAACACCGTAAACCCTATACGCACGTATGATATGATATTGAACAAAGCTAAATGTGGATACTGAAGTCAGTTTCATGAAAAAGTATCTGAACTATACGCAAAATATACACCATAATACTGACAGTGTAATCATAAGGATTGGGCGATTGTGTTTACTCTTGTTCAACCGACCTTCACCTCAAAGAAATTGCCTAATATGTACAATAATGTTGACGTATGACATCACTACCGCTGACCGATTTCTTACAAAATGGCGGCTTTGCTGACAAGGGTACACAGGATTTTGCGAGGACCCTTCCATTGATTCAGGGATCGTTTGTCCATAAATATGAGATGTAAGTAATCAGAATGATTCTGAATATCTGTGTATTGTTATATGTTTTTATCGTTTTCACTAAAAGTAAGAGAAAAAGAAAGAAATCCAGATAATTACCGTTGTCCTTCTGCGTGATTTTCAGTCAGTCATGGCGTCACACTGCACGGAAACTTTGACAATTTCTTATGAATTATCAAATCATTGCATTCTATCTATTTATAATTTCCTATTTCTTGCTACGATACTCTTTCCATGCATATTCAAAAGGTATTGACCCATTGCAAGCAATGAATAGACGGATGAATGTTGGAAAATTTCAGAAAATGCTACACAGTGTAAAATAGGTTTTGTCTTTGTTTACATTTCAACCCAAGAGTCTTTCGAGCACAGCATTCGCTTTCACACCCAATGTGTTTCGTCTCATTTTATCTAGACAGTTGGCATTGGTGACAAAGACCACTTGCAGTTTGATTCTAAAATGTATGGGGAATTCATTGATGCATTTTTCGAAGCTGAATATGAAATATACTTGATGTAATAGGCATCTCAATACCGCCTTTGCTAAACGCGTGATTTTGTAAACACTATCCAATATGGCGGAAAGCGGCTCTACGGCGTTAGTGTAAGTGCATTTTCGAAAACATCCCAACCGATTCTAGATTCATCGGCAACGTTTCAGAATTTTAATTAGCGATTTCATGTAAAACTGATATGAGTGATCATGAATATGTTATTTTTGAAATTCAATACTCCCAGTAATTATCCGGTTTTCACATTTCAAAACATACAACAAATAACGCTGTGAATCGCGATTTCGTACTGTGTCAAAAATGGCGACATTTTCGATGAAGCCTATTTTGAAAGGTCATTTTCAGCACTTGAACTTTGTCTAAAATAATAGTGGATGGTATCAAGAAACAGGAAATTTCCCGAAGAATTCGAAACTGTGAAGTGTATTTGTGTGCGTGGGATATTTTGATTTTTATTGGACTTGAAATTGAGGGTTGAAGGGGAAGGACATATATGTCCCTGTGGCATCCAGGGGGTTAAAATACAACAACATTCTATATGGGTACCATTGGTCAATTGGAACATAATAATGCATTCATCAAGTCAGAATTATTGTTCTATGTTGATCTAGTTTACAACATCAGAAAGAAGTTTTTTGTATTTCATTCATTCATTGGCTAGGTTTTTGTTGAATTTTCAAAATTGCAATAATTAATCGTAAAGGTCAGCATGTCCAAATTAAGGGACTGTTATGGTATAATTTACATAATTACTTCTTTTGTTTTGAATTGGTAATTGCACATTAATAGCCATAATTGGTATTGTTCAAACTGACGCTTATATTAACCCTTTGAATATCAACCAGTTCAACAGTTCTGTCATGCTGACTTAGAAATCTATGAGAGCATTGTTTGGTGGAATTTGATATAGTTAAAAAAACTCAAACCATTTATCTGTGTAGCATCATTTTACACACTAAGTTACTGAAGTCATCTTTATCGAAATATCAGGCTTTTGGAACAAGGAATGCATTTAACAAAGCTGCAAATGGAGACCAGTTTTTATCATTCCAGTGAGAAGCTTTTAATCATAAGTTTAGTTTACGAAACATTATAGTCTGGATCGATAGAATGGCTGATATGATGAACTCTCATCATT